CCTCCGCCGCCTCCTCCATGCCACCGGAGCCGCGGGCGCAAGCTGGGGAGCAGGTCCTGCAGGAGGCCGAAGCGCCCAGTGTTTGCGGGGAGGAGCTGCCGTTCCCTGGGGGAAGCCTGGCCCTGGCCCTGGCCCGGCCCCTCCCTGAGGGACTGGCCAGTGCCTCTGCTCCAGCTCCCTGCAGCCCCAGGCCGCGAGGAGCGGAGCCTGCAAAGGGCACAGGCCCAGGATAACTGCACTCTCGAGGGACCAAGGGACAATAGGCTGTGTCACCCCCACTCCCAGCAGCATCCCTGGCCCCAGGGACCTGGCTCTCCCCTGCTCTAGACAAAGCACCTGGCAGCCAGGAGGAACTGCAGCCCGGGGAGAGCAAGGAGCAGCCACAGGCTTTGTTTCCCTAGATGTCCTTCCAGCAGGCCCTGATGGAAAGCAGTGCCTGTCAAAGCGATCCTTCAGCGCTGCTCCCCTATCCTGGCCCCCATCCTGGGGGACTAATGAGCATGCTGGCCCCCAGAGACTCTCCTACCACCCTTGCAGTGAGATCAAGGTTCCTGAGATGGACCTCTCACTCCAGCTCTGCTCCAGGCAAGTGCAGTGCTGGCTCCTCCCTTACACTAGAACAACTCAGGCTCTCTAGAAAGCAGTTTACCCCCTTAGCTCACTCAGCAGTAAAGCTCATTAGCACAAGTCTGGCTCATTAACCTGCATGTTCTTCCTGCACCAAAGACACACTCGATTGCCTTCCACCACACCACATTACTCCACAAGAGCATACTTACATAAGCTACACCTCCAGGTAGGTTTATGTGCTATATTTCCCTACTGTTTCTATATTTATTTTTTAATTAAACCTGGCATTATTTTCTAATTCCTGCCACGTTATAAAAGCCCCTTCTTTACTTTTATAGAAAGCCATATACAGATTCTGTGCAGATTCAGGCAGAGGCTGCTTGTCTTACCATAGAAGTAACCATGCCCTCCCCTGGGCACCTTAATGTGATCCTATTTACATCTGCACAATAAAAAGGAGTACGTAAGCGCTCGTTATTCACTGATCCCAGTTCGCTGCTATTCTTAAAAGTCAAGCAGACGTTTTTTGTTAGTACCCAGCTGTGACAATTACCCAATTGCCTCTTTAGACAAGCATAATATTAAAGCACAGTTGATCTACAAGAGGCTTTGCTGCCTGTTTGTCTCCATTTTCTACTACCTTATAGTGAAATTTCAAGTCTTTAATATGTGCTAGTATACATTTGCTGCGCAGTGCTTGGGGCCTGTTGCCTTCAAGTTGCATCCTAAAATGAACTCCTTAATTGAAACTGAGGGTAAAGCTCCCCCACCTGATCACAAATGCATATTCAGTTACAGCACTGGTGAGGAAGGAAGCCTTGAAGGCCACAAAAAGCCTTGAAAACACTAGTTCTCCTGTGTACCTCCTCTGAATCAGCCTCCTCTGCCAACATTCTCATCCCCTATATCCAGTACTGGGAATCAGCCTGAAGAGATGCTTTCCTTGATTGTCAGGTGAGCTTTAAGGCTGCTGGTGCTCACTGGAAAAACAGCCTGCTAAGTGTTACAGTGCTCTGTTCTGGAACCATTCAAAAGACGACCCAATTGTTATAGTCTTGAACTGACAGAAATCAAGCTCCTTTCCTTAGGGCAGGCACAAAACACAGCCAGAATGTACACAAGGATCCAGCACAAAGGTGAGATTTTCAGTTTTTACAGTCATGCTGTAACCCAGAAATATTCAACTAAGGTCATTCTCTGGAGCAACTCAGCCATTTCTTTGCCCCCCAACCAAATCTTAATTACCAAGCTAGGCAAAACACACACCCTCGTAAGATATTGACTAGTTTATTCAGATTCTGAATAAAGGTTTCAGAAAACTGGTCTTTTGAAAGATCAACTGAGAAAACCAAAATAAAATGGGAACACAGTAGAAGTAAGATCCTTAAGTTAATCTAAAGCTTTAAAATCAATTAATTGGGTCCCATTTTATTGTGCAATTTCCTCCTATAATCTGGGTTCTGATACCTAGTTACATTCCTCAGATACCCAGAGACCTGCCCACATTATTCTGGAGAATCCACACAGCCCTACAAGGGCTTCTCAAACCTGATCTCTTGCAACTTCAAAGGTCACAGCCACTGCTGTTACATTATCAATAGCTTCCAGCATAAAAACAAAAATAAAACATTTCAGAAGGAAAATTTTTTGACTAAAAGAAAAGAGACATGTGGACTAGCAAGATCCAAAACCAGGAACTGCAGGGGTAGACACTGTTGCCAGGAGGAGTTGCGCTGCTTACAGCATGCTTGGTAGATTCAGCCCACGTGGATCCACCGATGACCAAGTAAACACAGAGACTGAACTTTAACGCCAGCCCTTATCCACTGTGCTTGAGGGCAGTCCTCGGCGCTGTGCACTCCAGAGGCCCAGAGAGAATGGGACACCTCATACAGAATAGAACATTCTTGAAATTGTTTCAGTTCACTGTTTTAAGTTTCTTGCTCGGCACTTCCTGACCGTTCTTGGCTTGTTTCCGTTTTTGGCTTGGTGCTTCCTCATTCTTACCATCAGCCAGTTTGTCCAAGACTATAGCAGCCTCCTTCAGATGGCGCAGCTCCCGTCTTTCCTTCCGCTCCTCCATTTCTACAATGTCATCTGCAAACAAAGCCTTCAGAGGTGGAATCAGCTTTGGGATGACGGGAAAGTCACCAAACCGTACCTGAAATACATTAGGCACAGAAGCACCTGCTTGAGAATTGTTTGTATTTCCCTTTCTCCTGCCTTGTCTTTTGCCCATTCAGATGGCAAGGTATTGTTTTTTCCCCCTTTACAGCACCTAGCATAGCAAGGCCCTAACCTCAATAGAGGTTTACAATGCATTTACAATAGCAGGCAGGTGTTCACTCTCAACAGTGCAGCAGCCAGTTTATAGACCCCATGTACTAAGTTATTTACTTTTCCTTGAAAGACTGTGGACACAAGACAAGTTTTAACTGACTAGCGAGCCATCATCATTAGCATGGCTGTGTTCAATACGACGACAGCCCTACCAGTTTTTGGCTCCTGGATACCTCTTTATATTGCAGGAAGCCATTAAAGGAGCACACCAATTCAAGAAGGGAGTGAGAACAGAAGTAAAATTATCTTTTCAGCTGGGAGTAGCGTGCACAGAATAGAAGGGGATTGGGGATAGCACCCAGCATGTTAAGAGTGAAATTCTGTTCTCAGGAGCCATCCGCACCTGTCTAGAAGGGGAATTGCTCTGCCCCACCCATTCTCTTCCATGTTGGTAATGTCTGCTGCCAGGAGAAAAAGGAGCTATTTCACAGGAAACTACCCTCAGAAGGAGACAGTGTGTTGATACACCATTAAAAATGGAGAAATTCATGCATGAGCAGCCATACCCAGGTAGCACTGAAACCTTTCCACAGAGTTTTGATCAAAGCTCCCAACTTACTCTCATATGGTCAAATGCAATTCCAACCTTCTCGCTGAAGTCTTCACTGAACAGTGGGATCTTGGCATATCTCTGACTGAAGTGGTTGAGCATAATGAACTCTGCATTCATCTTCATCCCAGTCTGAATTGCCTGGGAGGTTGTGCTGCAAAAGAAACAGAGAACTCGGCACCACGCGTACGCTGGCCACGCACCTTCTAAGGTCACATCACACCAACAGCAAACACTACACAGCACAACACTTGTTACATAAAACGTGTCCCTGGCTTTTAGTGGGCAAACCCCAGGGCTTCTTCCACAGGCAGCATGCATAGGCAGCAAGTCTCTCATTTTGAAATGACTCACAGAGCAGGAAAGAGGCTCCAATTACTTGGAGTCCTACAGTTAAGAGCTCGAGAAACTGGGGACCGGGGCTTACTCAAATTATTGTCCCGGGGGCCACAAAGTCCAACACACACTATAACTTGCATGTAACTTCCAGGAAGCTGCTCTCAGGTCTCCCCACCTTTGCTGGGGCAGCGCTCAGTAACACTGGCTACAGTGCTTTGTTTGAATTGTGCATTTAGCTGTCAGGGGTAGATGACTTACTTTCCACGCTTAGTCTTGAAATGTAATCAAGCAGAGGACCTTTCTTCTAGGCTAGTCTATTTGTAAAGTTACAACTGCCCACTTAAAAGCTGTCCCCATTTCCCTTGGGGCCACTCAGAAGACCAGTGCGTGTTACAAAGCTCGTGCAATGAGTACCACACCACTGGGCCCTCATCACCAGCTCCAAAAACATCTCTGCCTCCTAATGGTGAGAAATGGCACAAAATACCCTACCTGTGTGTTTTCTCTATGGCTTCTTTTTCCATGCCATCCTCCAGTGTTGCTTCATGGATCAGTAGTGTAGCGTTTTTCCCTGGGTAAATAATCACATTTTCAACCATTCTGGCAGAGCGTATCCTGTGGTGCAGGAGCAACAGACCTAAAGGCCTTCTCTGCACCACTGAGACACTGGGTGCTGCTGGCTGTATATATACAACAGACAGCAGTAATATCAACTGGTAGTCTGAACACGGACTAGTCCAACTGCCTAAAGAAGTACATGAACTCTCATTCCCACCTCCCTTACCACTGTAGGAGCAGTACCAAGGGCTTAGGGATGCCCGTTTCACATACTAACGGTTAAAGGCTTTCTGCAAAAGGATTCTTCAAACAGAGTTTGTCACCTACCCATTTGTACTAAGGCCATGCAGGGCATTGTGTCACCAGAATAGACTACTTTCCAGCCAGATTTGTGGACCATTGAACAAGCAAAAGCATTTTTACAGTGCTTGACTTCACAAGTCTGAAACTGAACAAAAACACAAGCGTTAGACCTCAAGTTGCCCTCTTGTCCTCTGCAGCACCTGGCCCTGTCAGCTGGTGGGCTTACCTCAGCCAAGTCATAGTTCTCCAATAGAGAACTGACAAACCACTTGGCTTTAGGTTTGATGTTCTCACAGCCCTTCACAAGAGACTGGGAAGGAATCATTCTGTGAGAGAGGGGAAAAGAATGAGCTAAGGATATATACAAAATAAACTGATCTTATCTGTAAGAAGCCTGTTTCTCAGTGAATCCATGACCTAACTATTCATTCATGTCTTCTCAGTTCAGTGACTTACAAACAAGACTATTTGTGCATTCATCTAGTTTTTCCCCTTGTTTTTACTATCCAGCACCCCAGAAACTCAACCAACCACTCCTCCACTGTCAAATACTCTCTCCTGCAGAAATCTTTCTCCACTTGCCCAAATCCCTTTTCCAAATCTGCACATACGCCTTTTAAGTAACACAAGTAAGTAATAAACCCTACGCCCCCCTTTGCCAATTACACACCACAGGCCTACACGCAGTGGAAGGGGTCCTAGCAGCCTTCAACTAGGAGGCGAGGGGAACGGATGACAGAGGTTTGCCTTGAATAAGGACCCACAAAGGATATTTCCCCACATACCACACAGAACACACTCACTTGATGTCTCCAAGAATCTCTTCGCAGTGGTTGTGGTACTCATATAGCCAAGGCATGATCTGTTCAGGTGCTACCAGAAACAGAGGGCTGAATACCTGTCCAAGAGATGCCTGGAATAGCAAAGATGGGGAAAATCAGTATTAGGTGTACACTAAATCTGAGAGAGGGAATGCCTGGGGTGGGGCGGCGGGGGAAGGAATGGTGCTTCACCACTCTCAGGAAAAGCCCTTCACTTCTCTTCTCCCCACCCACTAACACCAAGGCAATTTCAGGAGCATTGAAACAGCAGTACTACTTACAAGAGCTCTCCGCCTCTCCATCAGGATGTTCAACAAGCCCTGCAAAGTGGAGAAAACACTAGCAAGTTGTAATCAGATATTTCTGAGCCAATAAACACACCTTGCTGAACTGCTGTGACACTGTCACCCTTTATCCTCAAGCCACTGGCCAGAATTCCTCTCAGCTCTCCTCAGTGCTGCTGTGTCTGATCTCAAAAGAAGGGTGGAGAGAAGAAAATCTCCATCCAACTTCCCAGTCACAATCTGGTTTCCAGACACAAGACAGCAGCCCAGCATACAGCCTGCCCTGATCAGGCCCAGTCCAGAATAAGCCATCCAGTCCTTCTGTGATGACTTACTGCAAACACTAGAGGGAGACAGGTTGGACACTGCTAGAGAACGACACCTCCGAATGATCGTGGCAAACCTGCAGGGACCACTACTAGGAAGGGAGAAGGGATCAGAAACACAGCAAGATTCAGTAATGTCTGAGGAATGAAGAGGGGAACTGCGGCCCTAACAGCAGGGCAGCCTACATCTACACGTATAGTTGCCGCTATATCTAAATCCCAAACAGAGCAGGCCTGGGAAGAGCCCCTTCTCCTTCCAACACGCTCAACTTACCGAGTGATGATCGGTATGCATGTGAGACACAAACACAGCTGCTATGTTACAAAGCACTTGGTCAACTTGCTCTCCATAGTGACGACAGAGCTGTCCAAATGTTCCTTCTCCACAGTCCAAGAGCAGGGATCGGGTAGAGCTGGCAAGTCAAGCAACAAAGATGTTTGGTGACACCTGGAGGAGCTCTGTCCCAGGCCCATTCAGGGAGAGGGACCTTCTGGGTTGGAGGGCAGAGAGCTCTCAGTGCTCTACCTCTAATGCCACTCCAGTCCTACTAGCAGGGGCTTTAGAGTGACTGTTCTGTCTGCATTGCCCATTCTGGTCTTGTCTTGATGCTGAACACGCCTTTGGGACAGATGGTAAAAATCAATGAAGACATTAAATGTTTGTCTTCTATAAGTAGCTCTCGAGTTTTCCCCATTTACAGAGAGAAACTGAAGCCCCATGGACTCCAAGGTAGGGGCACTCTCACTATAAGACCACCACAATAGTCAAAACATCCCTTGGTCCAGACCTCCTTGAGATACTTAGCTTCCTTGAGGAGGACACACAACATGTTAGCATTTACCTAGTATTTACCAGTGTGGAACTGACATTTCGGATTTTCATTGGAATTGCAGATCCTGTTCCCAAGAACACAATTTCTGGATAAGCATCCACATTTCCTAGAGAAAGTGGAAAACAATGATTTGTAAGGAAAATGCTATCTGCACACTGCTCATTCAGACACGGTTCAGTTTAATAGCCTAGGATCGCCAGAGGCTACACACCTGGCATATCTACTATCGCCTCCCTCAACCTCTGGCCTTCCCACAGCAGCAAGATTTATGAAGGGATGACAGATGACAGGAAAGACTCACAGCCTGCAACCAAACCACCAGTTCAGGAGGGACCTAACTGCTGCTCCATAGTGCCCTGACTTTCCCCAGTACCAAGATCTGGACAGTGAGCCAGAGGTGCTTTATCATACCATGCAAGCCTCACTGCACACAGCAAGTGAAATTCAGAACAGTGCTTCACAGGGAGTTGACCCTAGAGAGCAAGACTTCTCTCAGACATGCTGACTCATACTGTAGCTTCTAAGACAGCATTCAACACAAGCAGAGCTCTGCTCACTGCAGAGAGGTAGCACACAGGGACAGTTTGGACACAAAGCACCCAACAGTACTCAACCCCCAAACCCACTAGTCTTGGAGAACCAGCACAGGACTATTTATCTTCAGCTGAAGGGAGCTATCTCAGTCTGGGCATAGCCCCTAATCCACACAGCTCCAAGAGGAGGTAAGAGCACCTCTGAGGCAGCAGGAAGATTTCACACTCATAGCTTTTCCTGAGCTCTAAAGTAATGACTCACCAAGATCCCCTTTTTCCCCACTAACACTGAGCCAGGAGAAGCTGTTGATCATTACCTGGTACATCAGGCAGGCTCTCTTTGCACTCCTTCACACGATCCTGGAAGTCAGGGAGATCTAGGGCTTCACTTACAAAGGCATCGTGATCACAGACAGTCACAGCATCCCTGAAAGAACAGGCCACACATCACAGAACGGGACGGCGTAAGGAACTGAAGAGACAGCATCTTTCAGGGCAAAGTGCCAAATTACAACGCTGGAATAGCCTTATAACAAAGGGTCAAATGATCTTCCCTCATCCCTCAAAAAGGAGCTTGGAAGGTTGTATACACACATGTGGTGTGGGCCAGCCTGGGTGGACCTGGCCGGCCTGAGACACTCAGCAGCAATGCTCCCTCCACCAAACCAGAGAAGCAAACAGTTCCTGGAAAGTAGTTCTGTTCTCCAGCACTGACCTGATCCAGAGAGCAGCTAGACACCAGAGGGCACTGCAAGGCCCTGCATGGGAAGCCCCAAGACTCCTAGAAGAGCAACAACCACCAGAAGGAGTTCCAGGCACCACTCAAAAGCAAAAGGGTCCTGCATCCTGGCCCTGCTTCAGAGCATGTGCAGTAAGTACTGCAGGCCTCTAAACACCATAAACAGAGAAACTCCAGCTCTTCTTGGCATCTGAGTCCTCCTATTCTGGCTAGGAGAGCCAGAAATTTGAGACGTGAAAGCTAGCGTCCTCTTGCATCATGTGGTCCCCTGCCCCCAAACTCCTCACTCAACATCATCTCCTACCTGCCCATAGAGCAAGCACCAGCAGAGAAACTTGCATCTATTTAATTACGTGGTACTGTCTGAAGACACGGAAAGCCTGATAAGGCCAGGCCTGCCAGCCTCCCTGAGAAACCTCTCCCTGCAACCATCCGCTCAGCCACAAGCATGGCTGGGTGCGCAGGTCAAAGCAAAAGACACTGGAAGCGCGCATGGGCCTACATGAGGGAGGGATGGAAACAACCCTCCAAACCAGAGTTGTCTAGGCAATGTTTTCCGTGGCTCAGTCATCCCTGTCCTGCACCTCAGCTTATATTTTTAGGGACTACATGCAAGGAGATGCAAAGACCCCCTCCAAGGACACAGCTGATAGCATAGGGACTGCTCCAGCACAGCCTAGGATAAGAATCCAGAAGAATGTATATCCGTTGATCTCCTTCAGCTCAGGAGCGCTCTCGGTCCTCATATCAGCACAGTAAAAACCGTTTCAAGCCAACTCTCAAAGCTGGGAAGCCAAAAAGATTCCCACCGACCTCTGCCATTCCTGTTGGGGTCTGAAGTGGTATTTCAGGAGGCACTCTCCTCGGACAATGGGCACACTAAAGGCAGCCTCTTCTTCCTACAGAGGAAGGGATGATGTTATACAGATTCTTCACTCAGGGGTGTGAGGTACACAGACAAACGGGGCCTCCCCTACCTTGCTCTGGTAGCTGGTGAGCAGAGGGAAGATCTCTGGGTGGATGAGGTTCAGCTGGGTTTGTATCTTGTAGCTACGTGGATTATGCACTGCAGCAGAGCTTTCATTCAGTACTAAGTGCTGAGTTCCACGTCCAAATCTAGGAGAAGATAAAAAGTATAATAGTTTCAGCCCCACATTAGCGCTGGGCACATGTGCACACCCAAGGCCACAGATTAAAAACCTCCTCTGAGCCAGATCCCTGCTGCCCCCAAGAGCTATTCCTATTCTGGGAAAAGCCTTCACACTAGAAGAACACTCTGCTGCTCAGCAATGACATAAAACGAAATATCGTAAGACCACATACCTTTCCAGCCACTGCTGGTAGCGGCTGTCCTGAAGCACTGTCTCTGGAGTCATGTGAATAACCAAAGCCACCTGGTTCTCAGGAAGCCCTTCTTGGTACCTAGAAGGGCATTCAAATACGGTGAGAAACACACGAGCTTTCGTCCTTTATCACCCTGGCATCCTCTTCCCATCCTGAAGTCCCAATACCAGCAGAGACCCACCCCCCACCAGAAGCAAGCAGAACACACATTTTAAGAGCACAATACAGAAGTCCCAGGTTCCACTTCATAGTAGACCTTGAGTTCCAGCTATTTGCTGCCACCTCCACTCTGCCACCTGGGGCAACTCCTCTCCTCCAAAAGCACCAACATCTTCAGAGCCTTTCAGAAGCCTAACCTGTGTCTGTTCAAGCCCTGCAGAGACATTGCATGCAGTCTAGGCATCCAGGCTCACCACACAAGGGAACGGCAGTCCCTCTAATGCTCCTCGGCACCACAGTGCACATTCTCATCCCTGAAGGCCCCTGGAAAGACAGGCCTGTCACAGTTGCACACCTTCACAGGTCCTGCACAGCCCTGCCTTTCCTCAAAGGCTCCCAAATGCACCACCAGTCCTTTCTTGCATCTCTAGCTCCTTAACAGTCTCATATAGCTCAAACTTCAGCCGTGGGAACTGACATATTTAGAACAGGACAAGAACTCCCCAGTAAAGATCGGCATGGATGTCTTCACCCCTTCCCGATCATCCAAGCTCCATACCTTCGGAAGGTGTCATTTTCACAGACAGCATCCACAAAGCCCTTGTGGGGACACTCCAGTACAATGAACACTGGACCAGGATCAGTAGGGGTACACAGTTCTTCAGGCAAGAGCTGCAGGCAGATACATAAAGGTCACCCTGTGGTCAGGCCACACACACAGCCCCTTCTTGCATCTCTACATCAGACTCTCTCAGCAGCAGCTGTTCTACTAGCAAACCCCCAGCAGGCTGCTGGGGCTTGCAGAACCAGCTCAGAGCAAGATTGCTCAATGCTCAGGAAACCCAACCCAGCTTCTCATTCCCATTCTGCCCTCCCACTACACAAGTCTGCATTTTGCTGTGTCACTAGTGCCAGTAAATTCCAATCCTGGTTTCAGGACAAGCAACTAAGCAACAAACTGCTGCTAGGAAAGGAATTTAAGTAGCTTCTAGGGCCCTACAGCAGACTGAGATTCCAGTAATTGCTCGAGAAGAGCAGTTCTGTGAAATCCTTATGACAGATGCATGTCAGTCTTGTTCCTCAGGTTAGGATTTTCACTTACAGGTCAACTGGGAACGGCCAGAGCTGGCTATGCCTCTAGCTTCAGTCTAGAATCTGAGAAACTAAGGCTCATGCCCTTCACGCAGGAGCCACTTAACTTCCTCATGGTATAAGAAGTGCAAATAGAGTAAGGAGAAAGTGATGGCTATCAGCAATCGGACTCCTAGACAAATCTAAAACATGCAAAGGATTTACTCTACTAATTCCCTCCTAAATCTGAATTAGCTTTGGGGGCTTGACAAGGGGAGATGAAGAAGAACAAACTGCAGACATAGGCAGCCATTAGCACAGATGAGCTCATTTCAGAGTGTGCTTCCCTAATCATCCTCTGCAACAGCCCCACACAAACAGCCAGGAGACACCCCATGGGAGCTACTCTCAGTAACAGACTGAGCCTGAAACAGGGACCAGTCACCATCCAAAAGCAGCAACTCAGGAGCTCCAGAACAGCAAAACCTTGCCAACGCACTCTAGCAGGGATGACAGGGAATGGGTAGATAGTTATCACCCACCTACCCCCACAAGCATAAGGGTTAAATTTGCAAGCATTCCAACGCCCCTTGGTACCCACAGCATTCTGCATGAGAAGATTTTTGCCCTTCCACCTTCACTGGGCCCCCAAGATGATGCAAACCCACAGCAGAAGGCATAGATGCATCTTACCTCTCTGCCTTCAAAAGTGATGCTCTCCCCATTTTTGAGAGCTGTGATTATGGGAAGAATGGCTGGAGTTCCCCTGAAAGCAAGGCAATTGAAATATTTAGCATAATGATATCAAATGTGACTGGAGCTGCCCCATCCCCCAAGTTGGGCCCCTGTACTTACACTGGCAGGCCTAGCTCCTGTGCTTTAGCTACTAGGAATTTTCCTTTCTTTGGGTGAATCTGAAATAAATAATAGATAAATAATCAACCAAATAAAGAGCCTTAAACACGGCCAGGAAATCCATGCACTTCCAGTTGAGTGTTTCCCTCCATAAGCTGAGGGTATTTTTTCCTTTCCCTTCAATATCGGATGTTCTGTACACCAAGCCCTCCCCACTGTTTAAGTCACCTGACCTGTTGAATCTAGGCCTCTGGACAAACCCACAATCCACAGAGGCTGAACAGTAAACCTTCAACAAGCCATCTTCTTCTAGACAAGTAGAGCAGACTAGTTTGGTACTGTCTGTTCAACAGTCACTAGTCTGCTTTACTCCCAAAAAGCTTTCACCAGTCCTTTCGGTTCCTAGGATCATACGGCTCCCTCTCGCTCCTTTCTTCAGTGAAGTAAAGAGTGTAGACTTTCCTAGTGCAAGCAGCAAGCATGAATGATGGAACCTTAATTGACTAGTTCATAAAGAGCACTTATTAAAATTTTTTTTTAGTTTTTACAGGTTCCTACTTATATTCCAGATTCTCTGACCTTTACAGGGAAGAATCACAGAACGATATAGAGTCCTGCTTGAAAATGCCGTCTCCAATTAAATCTATTCAGCAAGACAAAATATTGATCTAGAGACCATTGTGGCCAGTCTTACTTTACAAAGGAAAGCCATCACCAGATCAGGATGCCTGCCATCACACTTCTCTGTGTCACCTGTAAAAGAAAACAAGATTACTCAGGATCATCATTGACTCATTTTCCTGAAAGCCAAAACGTTTCAACATTTGCTAAAGCATTTACAGAAACCACAGCACCCCCATCATCTGGCCAGCCCAGAGCCCAGCAATAAAATGTTCCAAGCACCTGAGGCTAGAGAGCCCACAGTTTCTGCTTTGATAAACCAAATGAAAGCCCAAGACTGAAAAACAATCAACCGCAACATCTACCTGCAAATAAACTACAAACAGCTACAGAGACTAATCACACCCCAAGCAGGAATCATGTCCCACTTCTAGGCTATATTAGTTCTGCATCAGCTTCCAAACTACCACAGCCCATTCTGTCCCATATAATCTTTCAGCTGAGGACATCTGCACATCTCACTTTCACAGAGCAAACAGCTCGAAGTACAAACATACATGCTTCAATTTGTTTTTTTTTTCCCCCAATTACGTTAAAAAGAACATTCAGTGTTTTCCACCTGTTTTTCTTGGGCTTTCCTTTTCCTTGCCCTCCTCCAGGCTTTGCTGCACAGCTTTTGGGGATCCAGGCCCTAGATCATCTTTTGGGCTGTTTCCACCTTGGGCTGATGCTCCAGGACTCTGAGGCAACATGCTTTCAGCAGCTAGTGGCTTTCCTGTCCCGAATCCAAGAAAATCAGACAAACTCACTCACACAAAGACAAGAGAAGCATGAGCAGCAACCCTTCTTCCGTACAGTCATGTTTAAACTGCCTCAGAATAAAGAACTCTTCCCCCAATCTGACTTGCTCATGTATATTCTAGCCACACTTTGTCCAAGTCCTTTAGACTCTCTTAAAACAGCTAGACTCTGTCAAGCCTGTGCCCTAAGCTTTGCAGTTTTCAGCAGTAAGAAAACTCAAGTGGTTAAAAAAAAAAAAAAAAAAAAAAGAAACTATTCCACATTTTATTCTACATATCTACACCAAAAGGAACAAACTAAGGCCCTGACTCAGCACACCTTTTTTTTGAAAGGGACTGGTCTCCTGAGAACAAACACGCAAATTCATAAACCTCTCCTTACTCTGACTTGCAAATAGAAGCCACTCCTATAACCACCTTAAGGCATGATTATTAAACACGTAAGCAGCAGATTTTTCCCCTCTGACTGCAACTTCACGCACTTACCTATAAGAGGTATTTGGTAAACTGTCATCGTCTCATCCTTATACTCCAGCTCTGTATGCAGCTGTACAGCTTGAAAGAGATAAAAATAGGCATTAACAAGTTAATAAGAAGAGATTCAAACTCCAGAAGAACTCAAGAAGTCAGAAAAAGATTATTTTCCTCCCTCAGAGAAGAGCTGTTGAAGACTCCCACCTCACTGCAAAGATCAACAAAAAACTGAAGCTCTTAAAAGCTCACCATCCATAAAACACCATCTACAACACCACAGTAAGGAGGTTCACTGGCAGGCCTAGAGGCATATTGCCTTGACAGTGCTTTCAAGCAGAATCCTGGATTTGAACATCAAATGGGATCTAAACACAACTGTTCAAAACTTTCTTCAAAATGATCTAAACCAGAGGTATTTTTTCTGAAATTATTCCAGCTCAATACAATTTTGGCCACAGCTGAAACCAGAAGAATTTGTTACAAATCACCGACGTACATACCTAAGTCCATTCTCTTTAAGGGTCCAGGAAAGAGTCGAATGGCTTTCAAGTAGCTTTGCTGGAAAAGAGACACTGCTTAGGAAACCCACCCCCAAAGCAGTATAAAATGCAAGCACCCCTTCCCAAGGTAAAGTTACAGTTTTCTTCCAGTAAAGTATGCTCAAAGACTCAACTCCCAGTCAGGAGAAACCTGGACGCTACTAGCCAGCCAGAAGGCACTGGGCTGGTGCCTCACCTACAGCCCACGTTACCCATTTAGAAAGGGAATGGAAAAACAAAGGTGAAGAATTCCCTCCACAAGCCCTCCTCTTGCTTCAGCATAAATATCCAGCAGATACCACAATGAAATAAAACAGTTCTGAGGACTGGAAATTCTTCGCCTAGACATGGCATTAGGCTGGCAAGCATTGCCTTGAGGGGAAGATCTGATATCAAGTTTCTATTAAAAGAATACGTGGAAAGGGAAAACAGACAAGAGAACAAAGGATGCCCTTCTTTCTGGAACACAATTTACGAGGAATTTAGCTGACAAGACAGTTTCAAGGAGCAGAAGTCTGATGCTGCTCTGTGTGCAACTGAATAGACTTGCTTTGTAAAGCCGGACTTTCAGGCAGAACCAAACAGGTCAGCACTAACTCATACCAGCACCTTACACCTGTAAGATGATTCATTGTCTTGAGGTTATTTCCCCAACTGCAAGATAAGCTTTAATGTCTGAAAGGTTCCCTCCTGCTTCTGCAAACTTCCACTACTTACCAGCTTTGGTGGCCCTAAGAAAACACATCTTTGCAGCCCCATAGCCTTTAATGTGAGGATCATGCCTAAAACAAAGCAAAGCAGAGAGACAGCTTTATCACAGTCCCAAAGTCATTTGGCAGATCATGCAAGAAAGATCCCTCTCATGGCCCAGGAGTGCCTGGCCTCTCAGCGAAGATCAGATCTGAACTCAAATTTGCATTTACTCAAATTTGCCTTAGCTTTGTGGCAGTTTCAACAAATTGCAAATCTTTATAATCAAAACTGGCAGCAAGTTACCCAATTTCCTTTCCATCTCCTTTCTTGGAGATTTTCGGAATTTCAACCTGACCTAACCTCACCCTCACTTGAGCACAGGGGTCAACCAGAAACCTCTGAAAGTCCCTTCCCACTGAATTATTCTGCTCACAAAAGGCTCCATATTGGCAAAGTAGGAATGGCAATGTTTCTTCTCTAGAAGATTTGGGGAAGGGAAAGCCATGTACACTGGTGAGACAGATTCTCTTCCACCATGTGTCAGCATGCACTGATGCACGGAACACACTACAGCTGAAAGCACTGCAGAGCCCCACGTGCAATCACGCTGCACTGACAGAGCTTTTCCTCTCTCCACCACTACACAAAAGACATCAAATATGACCCTAGGAACATCCTGTAAAGTAACCACCTCTGGCCTAGACACAACTGCTGCCTGCAGCAAGATCTAGCAAGGGGAACTGGCTCAGGAGCCAGGCCGGCACCGGGGCTCCCAACCAGCCAGCCCCACTCACCTGGCAGCCCACCGACATTGGCCCAGGCCACACGGCTCAGGAAAATGCTGTCCAAGTGGGAGATCTTCAGCCTGAGAAGAAAGATGAGGGAGTAAGCAGAGGCCAAAACAGTCCCAGAGAGAAGAAGGGGGGGGGGGCCGCCCCGGGTCTCCCAACTTTCTTTGG